ACATTTTGCAGGTTGCATGTAGTATGTAGCTAAAATATTGGTTTAAAAGTCCCTTGATCATCACTGGAACCGATTATGAAGGTGATTACGCTCCAATACATCCATTCACGCTGTTAGGACTGTACGTTCACGACGTCTCTCTTTTTCCTTGCTTTAATTGTAAATAAAAAGTCGGGTTATCAGTATGTATTTAAATGACATTAGTCAAACCTAGGGCCACACCATCTTGATCCTTATACTTTAATCTACTAAAGATTATTCTACAAACAAAGTTTCATACAAGTATTTTGTGTATATCAACTAATAGTCTTAGTCCACTCATATGTTTACACTACTTTGTGTCTGTATACATTTTGCTTTAGCTCATCTCTATCTGATTGCCCAACCGGCCCCAACACCCCCAATGCCACTTTCTACTTCTTACACGCCCCTTTCCGGCGCGACTCAGGAACCCCGGCCCTTACTCGGAAGAAGACCTGGCAAGGCGCTTGAAATGAAGGATCCTAGAGAGGTGGCTGCCAGTAAGCTGAAGGAGTTATCATTGCCAGAAACCAGCTCTCTGGTTGCTCCGTCAAGCCGGTCGGAAACTCCTACAGGAATATCTACCACGTCAGCATCTCTTAATGTGGAAGAAACTTTTTCAGTGAAGCTAGACCAATAAGTATCTCTATTTAATCCTTCTATCCTTGTTGCTCTCTTAATAAGATTGCTTCCCAAGTCATTTCAAATAAAATTATTCCGTTCTTCTTTCTCCCTCACTCTACATCATTTCATTTTCGCTTCTCAGTGTGCCATACTCGAATTTTATGGAAATGATTTAGGATTTTTCCTAAACCACATTATTCTCTGAGGGGTTCTATCCAAACGAGTGTATATAGGCAGATACATTATCCGTTGTGCAATGCATGCATTCCCACTCCTGTAACCTTTTAAAGCATATATATATATATATTAATTAACCAAATTTACTCGATACATCATTAAATTTGCAGTTTTATCCCAGTTCTTTGTTTCTTTGCTCGTAAATTATTATCCTGTTGGCTGGTATCCAAGCGCAGTGGCTATCAAGAATTTAATAATTTTCTCTATCTTCCTTCACTACTGTCACCATCTTTAGCAACTCGTCTATTGTCGTGGATATTAAGACCAAGAAGGTGTTTCCTTCTGCTTGGCCTCAGTTTATTATGGTTATTTTGATTTTGGGGGCTAACTATGTTCATAATTTATTCTTTCTCTGATCCTTGATTCTATTTACTAGGTTGCCTCCTTGTTTTTAAATTTTGAGACATGTTTTGTTTCATTTTTGTATCAAACAAGCGGCTATATTTATAATTGCGTTGGTATACTTCTTGATAATTAGTCTCTTTCAGGTTGTTATCGCATCACGATGGGATTTATCATTCAATTTTTTTTTTTTATTAATTTGCACTCTTCTTAATCTTTCACTGTCTCTTCTGCACATCTTAGCCCACTCCGAATCCTCATCTCGATTTATTGTCCCACTTACATTATTCTCTTATCTCATTTTCTAATTGATTATGTCCAGCATATTACATCTACATGCATGCCAAAGTTCTGCTTAACTTTTTTTGAACTAGCCAGGCAATTTCCTTAGTACTCCTTATTTATCTAAAGGTTGTAAAAAGGAATTTTAGTTCGTCGAGCAATAGTTTCACTGTTCCCTTAGTACTTTGTATTGGCTTCCGATAAGCGCCCATTTGTCTCCTTAGCCAATCGGTACAATCTTTTATATTTAAACTTTATGGTATGGTGTGCCATCCCTCATGTCAAATTAAGTATTTTGTACATCCTAGACAAGAAAGACTTTTCTGTTTAAAAAATTAGTGCTTATTTTGATGGGAGATGAATGAGCCAAGCTGTCGTGTATAGCTTGGTAGCTTGATCTGTAAGCATATTATGAATTTATGCCTCCAAATTATTTGGGATGTCGATTAGATGAAGCTATTCCATGCACAGCATTCTACTTCAATTCCGGGAGTGATCCTGCATGGCATTCTAAAAAGCAGGTTAGCCCTAGTTTCTCTAATTTTCACCCCAAAGTTACTTTTTGGGTAGATGTAATCCCCGAGTTTCTATAAATCTTTACACTTATTTTTTGGAATAAAATGAACCATTCATTACTTTAAGATCAAAAATAAAACTTAGAAGTTGTTTGACATTACTAACAAAGTTTCTCTCTTGCCCCGTAGAATCCGTCTGCTATCTCCCTCGTACATGTATTTCACTCGACCCCTGCCCCTCCATCTGTGCTATTCGAGGCGTAATTAACCCACCCCTGCGTCTGGGTGACTAATTCGAGACTAAAGCCTCTGAGTTAGTCGCATGCCTTTCCTACATGCACCACGTCTCGTGTAAAACCTACTGTCAGCCAACTAGCTCCAATCGCCGCCTCGTCTATCCTGTATCTATACCTAATACCAAGTCTATAACTTTCCATGCCCTAGTTGCTTGTGTGCCAACCCACAAACATTGTGGTTCAACATTGAACCTAATCAAAGCCAGCAGTACCACAACATTTGTGGGTTGGCACACAAGCAACTAGAGCATGGCAAGTCATAGACTTGGTATTAGGTATAGATACAGGATAGATGAGACGGCGATTGGAGCTAGTTGGCTGACAGTAGGTTTTACAAGAGACGTGGTGCATGTAGGAAAGGCATGCGACTTATTCAGAGGCTTTAGTCTCGAATTAGTCACTCAGACGCAGGGGTGGGTTAATTACGCCTCGAATTGCACAGATGGGGGAGGGCAGGGGTCGATTGAAATACATGTATCAGGGAGATAGCAGACGGATTCGACGGGGCATGAGAAAGACTTTGTTAGTACCCATGGAAGGACTACGTAACAATATGACAGACTCTGC